AGAATCTCAGAAAAACCAGTAAATATTTCGAAATTTTACAATTGAAAGGTCAAGACAACCTCCAAAACAGAACAGCTAATATTAATTTATACAGAAGTTGATATGGACTAAGTGTCCATTTTTTAATAACCGCCAAAAACTTTAAAATTTAACGGTCAACCGGACTCAAAATGGGAACTGAAAATTTGAAGCAACCACCCCATTTGAGACCCTCTGCTAAATTGTGGTTTGTTTTATTTAGTTGGCATTACAGCGTCGAATAATAGGATGAAATAAACTGCCCAGCAGTCGATAAGTGTTTACACAGGCGAAGAAACTGACCACAGAAGTACAAACATAATATATTGATATAATAATAGTGACTATATTCAACTAAAAAATATATTTTGGAGAAATTTTTAACTGGCTTTGTTGTTTTATTAGTTGACTGCTTTCAGAAGGTCTGTCACTCACTGTCATTTCAAGATTTGTTAATCAGGGAAAATATGGCTGGTACTCAGTGAAACGGTTAGAGCATGCATATCGATCGCAACCTGAGCAAACAAAAATGTTGCAGCTTATATAATATTTACATAAAATATTTTAAACTTTATCACTGCATGACACGTTTTTATTCTATTGCGTGGGTTGAGCTTATTCATAGAACGGTTGTGACTATTCACGGTCGCGTGATTGGCTGTTAGTATTTACCGTTTTGTATAAACTAACGGTTAAACAGGCGTTTGAATCATTTCGTTGGGAGCAAGTGGTGCGGCTGCATAGAACACGTCTCCATTCAATAAGTACTGGTAAGATTTATTGCAATAGTCATCCTTTTACGATTTTTTCAACTTTTGTCTGGGACTAGTTAAGGAATGAAACTCGTCAACAAAGCTGGAAAGAGCGCCTTAGAATTTAATAGTATAGTTGCCACGTTTCAACGCGATTTGTTGACAACTACCTAAGATACAGAAAAGCGTGAAATTTCACAGACGTTTGTAGAGACAAGACAATGTTTTATTTGGAGATTATACAGTCCTATGTACATCGACTTTATCCAAATAATTTAAAATCATAATACACATTGCACTGAACTATAATCAGTGTTAACCTAAAGAACTAATGATCTTCTTTTCTCATAGCAGTCGAATACGTATTTCGCAATTAACTTTTGCACTGGATATTAAGCCTTTTATCTAAAAAAATCTAGAAAATCAAGGAGTATAAGCTATAAGTGAGTCAAAGTGTATACACCATAACTTAACAAGTTATCTAACGGAAATACAGTGTCCGTATCTTTCATTTGTTAAGTTAAAGCTAAAAAAATCTATCCTTAAAAATCAAATATAGATACTCAAGATCTCTATTTTCAGTTTTATTGTTCTAATTATAATTTTTTCGTTTGATCTGTTAAATTCAGATGAGCTAGTGTAAGACATAAAAAAACAACGGAGACCAATATCGTTGGAAGAAAAACATGAAAATTTTATAGCGGCGGCGAGAACTGAAATGCTAGCGGCCACCAAAGTGAAAATGCGGCATTTAAAAAAAAGTGTACAGGAACACATACAACATTTCCTCCATAAAACCTGTAACTAGGAAGTTTCTGGAAATTCCACTTTATAGTCGTGCAAAACAATTTCTGCCAAAGAAATGTACAATAAAGTATGCTGCATGTGCAATGTTTTTTGTCATTAGACCTTTTTTGTTGTTGTTGTTGTTTTTTTTTTAACCGTTGTCTTTTTCTCACCGTTTCTTTAGCATTACACTATTTTATGTTCTGTTTGAGTAAACTAATAATGTTAAAGACCGGTTTGCTTTTAGCCCTGGCTGAATCTATTTACGACACTGATTTATTCCCCTAAGCGTTGTTGCCAAGTATGTATTTTAATGCAGCAAAAAGGGTCTATTATATTAGTGTACGATCTTGGTAAATACATATTAAATAAATGAATAAATAGAATTTTGAAGTAATAACCTGGTGAGGCGATGTCACACTCATTCGACAGTTACAAATACAAATGAAAGAAATGAAAGTTAAAACGTTTTTAGAAGGTTAAATCCAACCTGCCTTTCGCTATAGTTTCGCAGAGGAGCAGTTAGGGAAAATTAAAGCTTGAAAAGGTCATAGCGCTGACTGACTGTTTATTTTAGATCGATCTTCTCTCGAGCGTCTTAAAATAAAAATGTAGTTTGTTTGGCAATAAAGAGAAATGAATGTATTCATTAGTTTTATCGTCTTATTCTCAGTAGCTATCTTGCAAAAACACGTGACCATTTTTTGCTTGAAGTCCAGAAAGCTCGGATAGGCCAGACTCTTGCAGTTTTTCAATGAGACTGAATGACCATGTTTTGTCCCATTTACACAACGGATTTAGACAGTTGCCTTTGGCTTCTGATTTATTAAGAAGATTTGACCCCAGAAAATTGCCGTGCTCATGCGTTTTGCTTACAGTTCTCACGTCACGAGTGCTCTATTTTCAATCCCATGATACCACGAACATTAGATCTAAGGCTGGTCTAGAACTTCTTGATAAAATACACACTACTTAAAAAATAGCCTTAAGTAATAAAACTTCGTGAACAATAGTTTTTTGGTAAGGAATGAAATTATTCGTGTTCTCAAAGGTGGCACCTTAAGGGTAAAATTGCAGGTTTCCGCCCATTTTTAGCTATACTGTTTGATAAAAAGGGATAATAAAGTCCCGCAGTGGAACATGTTTTTGAATACGTCTTCTTTAAAGATGACGGTTGGAATCAGATTAACTATAAGAACTTTAATAACAATAATAATAATGATAACTTTTTTATTGAGGGTACTTAATATCTCTCAATAATCTACACAGGGCCCTTTAAAAACAGTCAATCAAAAAACACTGATTAAAAGGCGCGAATTTGCAGATAAACTAACTAAGGCATTGCTAAAATTGCCCATCACAATATACGGTTAAAAAGCAACCATCCTACATGGACATGGACACGAAATATATCATGGAAATATTCAACATCCGTAGGTTGGCTCCAACCATTCTGACCTGCAACGCTACATAATTAAGATTTTGTGATAAATAGTTATGGATATTAGTTACAGCAAGTCCACGTCCGACAACATGGCGCGGACAATGTGGCGTCGGCCCTTATCAGGCTCCATTTTCTCCAAAAGGTGGAGAGCGCTATCAACCGCATAAATCTCTATCCAGTGGATAGTGCAATTGGTTTCCCTAGTAATACTTATCCACTGGATAGAGATTTACTTCGATGGATAGCTCTATCCAGAGTTTGAACAACTGGGGCCAGATGGCCTGTAAACGTTTAGCTAGTTATAACGTAATTTGATCGACGAAAATCTTAGGTCGTATATTGGCAATGAAACTGATCTAAGGGCCACTATCTTAAATCTGATAGTTTAAATATTCAGCCAGTATACACTTAAAATGGAACCTCCAGACACTATGATCTCTTATATAACTTACACACTGCGAGACTCCTTTTCATGACAAAAATTTGCCATTTCCAGAGTCAAAACCCTTGTAGGCGCGAAAAGGATTTTTTATGAATGCTCGCAAGACATTTGTGACTTTGTCTTAAAGTTCGTAAAGCTCTTTAGTGCCGGTAACTCCGTATATGGCTCTTTGTTTTCATTTACCTCGTTTTAGACCTGAAGAGAACCTTTATACGGATTCATTCTGGTGAGTTTTCTTTTTAAGATAACTTATAAACAGTAACATTCCAACTTACTTTAATTCAGTTGATAGGAACCTTCGCTGTGGGCTGAAATTGAAACATGGTTCGACTACAACTCCTCGTGTCCGTAATTGTGCTGGTTGCAGTCTGCAATATCGAAGTGGTAAGGTTTTATTTCTGTAATCAGCTCAGGGGTGAGAGTAAGTTGTTAAAAGGAGAATAAAATAGTTTGTATATCATTAATTTATAAAAGACGTTTACTTAATGCATGACTGTTTGTGTCCACTGTTAATCAGTAATCTTAAGACCAAATAATAATACTCAGACGGCGGAAAATAGTGCTTCGCCGTGAAGACTCCCTCGGTTGGTGGATTTTTCGTTAATATTCAGAAGGGACTGTGTAAAGCCTATTCATTAGAAACAGTGTTATGAATAGGTATAGTATTTGTATACTGTGGTCGGTATATATCTGAGCGTTTTTTCTTTTCTTCTTCTTTTTTTTTCTCGAGCCATGATACAGAAATCATTCTATTCTAAAGATAAAGGATAGGTTGCGACAAGGACAAAAAATTCTAGGCTTTACTTCACCGGCCAAAACTGACTTACCAACAAACACTAAAAACTCTACTGAAACAACCTACCAACACACGCAGCACTCTAAAAGCATGCCGGCTGTGCTTTTCTGGACGTGCTTACAAAGTTAAAACTAAGCAAAAAATATTTTTCTCTGGCTGCCTTGATGAATTGACTTTCTATATGGGGCTTAGTTTAACTACAATACCCGTCAAATTTCGTTGAAACATTAGACTGAAAGTGAGTATTTTTCATGTCAATCCTTCTCGACCAACTTATCTAACTTTTCCCTCATTCCATCTCCTTAGAAAAGAAGTTCAACATATTCGAGGGGCTACTCATAGTTAGTATATACACACTCAGTGATCTTGGTGATTTAAGCAATCTGATTGGTTAGCTATCTCGGACTATTCAACAGTATTCACCTCCTAGCTAGTGGATAATGTGTGAGCTCGGTGTTTTTACCACTTTTTTAGAGAACGATCTTATAAAAGTCGACAAAATCCTAAGGCTGACTTTTTTTTAAGGCAAGAAAAGACTTGGAAGGATTCAATAAGGCGTTTTTCAATTTACTGTCGCTGGGTTTTGTGCTCGATGGATTGTTTACAACTCCCGTGTATTCGCGTAGAAGAAGCCGTTTCGTGAAAAACTCAGCGTTATCTAACAAGGAAATTTTGGCTCCAAAATCGAAGTTTATTTATGACAAATAAATTTAAAAGGAAATGCTAGCAGAAATTCTACGTTTCAAGTAAACGGGAAAAAGAATGATACAGGAAGACGACGTCTTACCTCGAGCAACCGAGCTGCCATTTTTGTCAGCACTTCATGCGAAGAGCGACACAACAAACCCTTTTGGCTATAAACTTGGTGAGTCAACAGAAAACAACAAAGCTCTACTTTTCTTCTCAGGTAAGGAAACAGTTCAAACTTTTAGCGGTTCCATTTAAGCCATTACGCTGTTGTTTGCGAAATGATAAACTTGTGAATTGCCATGTTTGAAAATTCCGCAAAGATCTATTTTTAAACTTACGCGTGATTTGATCTGTCAATGAAATCGTGCTTTTTAATGGTTTCCTCTCTGATTTTGTTGAGATCACTTCGTGTGTATGTACTAAAACAATTATTCTTTTCAATCTCGGTGAATAGTGGCTTTGGGAATATTTACCTCGCCGCTTTCGCGGCTCGGTAAATATTTTGCCATTATTCACCTCGATTTCAAATAATTGTTAATTAGCCGATTTAATGGATAGAGTGTTTGAGTCGGAAAAGAGTTTCCAACCTTTAAAACAACCAAAGCCTGTACTGTGTATAAATATCGTAAAATTATGAATTCTAACAACTGTCTCATTGAGACGAATACCCTTGATACTTTTCATTCACGATAGCGAGCTTACAGACGAGCTTCTGCTTATCCTTGGATAAAAGCACTGGATGAATTTCGCAGAAATGCAGGTAAATAAGTCTGGCCATGTATTATTGAGACAGGCACTACATGAACAAAAAATACAATGTCAGTAAAGAAAAGGCTATGCCCTTGTATAAATACTTATTCTACAAGCCTTGTCAGTCAAACAGAACAAGTTTAATTGCTAAAGTCGTTTTCAAAAAAAATTTATAATTGTCTCTTGCAAATAAAATAAGTCACAATCATACTGAATGTACCACAACCTGTTCATTTTCAACAACCAAAAAAACCATTTCACGATGGTCGGTTGCTAGGGCTTTTGCTCCCGTTTGGTTCTTAAATTCAATTTCTGGCTTACAGAGGGGTAGTTTATATTTCAAATGAAGCAAAACATTAGAACATCTTAATTGGAGAAAAGAATTCTTTAAATTTTTTCAATTGTAAAGGTATTTTTTACTTTTCTTGAAAGTATGACGTCATAAGTGACACCTATTTTTAGTAACAACGTTAAAAATTCGATAAGCAGTGTTCAAAATGCTACAAACATTTTTGTTACAGAAAAACAATATTTACAGTGAAAACCCCATCTCAATCGGATAAAATGGCGTGAAGTTACATTTAATTAAAGAAATTCAAATTTCCCGCCTCATGACCATATATGTTCAAACTTTAGGGGTATTTTAACGCGAAAACAATGAAGGTAGTCGCAACGGAAAAAAGACAAAGCTGCATAAAATCAAAATTGTAGTTTTTTGAATTAGGCATATGTGGTGCTATGACGCGTATTTCGTCACAAATTACGTCATTATGACGTCAAAATGACGTAATTCGTGACGAAATATGCGTCATAGACCACACATCCTAAACTCAAAAAACTACAATTTTGTTTTTATGCAAATTTGTCTTTTCTCCGTTGCGACTACCTTCATTGTTTTCACGTTAAAATACCCTAAAGTTTGACCATATATGGTCATTTGGCGGGAAATTTGAATTTCTTTGATTAAATGTAACTTTGCGCCTTTTCATCCGATTGAGATGGGGTTTTCACCAGAAATCATAGAATTCTATACAGAAAACTAATGTAAAATTTTTAGCATTTCTTTCCTGAATTTTCTTTCTGATGCCATATTTGGACATCATTTATGACGTCACAATAGAGGTCACATGGGATGAAATAAACACCAATAAATAGGTAATTTATCAACTTACTTCCTTGTCAAGTTTTGTTACATTCGATGCATTCTACTTCTCTCTACGGCCTTAAACTCTCAGTTTTGAGAGGTACGAGAGCAAAAGCCCTAGCAACCGACCACCGTGTTTTGGCGTGCAGGTTCTGATCTGACCCGTGTGCATTAGGTAACGGAGCTTGTTGAACAAGTTCAGCAGCCCAAACGTGGATTTGATTCTCTCCACAGACAAAAAATTAATTTTTCTCCTCATGTGAGCACATTTTCACAAAAAAATTAAAATACTCATAAGGTGAAAATTTTATCTTTTAATTGAAAGTACTCATTACCAGGAGGACATCTGTCAAAAATTTGGCAATTTGAACACAACGTGATTTTCTTAGAAGTTTCCTTTTTGAAGCGTTCAAAATTTCCCCATTTTGGCTCTCCATTCGGCTTAGTCTTCTCTCGGATGCCTCTCGGAAACAAAGGGGCTGTGAGGTAGATTGAGGAACTATGAAGTAAATTAAAGAACAAGTGAATTTAGATTCAACAAAACGAGTATGGAGTTCAATTTGCACACTGAAACAGCTGCTAAAAGGTAACACATGCCAGTAACTTCGTTGCAGTTAGATGCAACAACACTGGCGACCCTAAGAAACAGACAGCAAGCATAAAAATGATCCTGATTTTCAGTTCCTGAATTTATTTCTCATGACGTCACATATGAGCCAGTCGATTTCGTGACCACTGGAACGGGTGTGCCAAAGAAATTTAGACTCAAAAAATTGCTAATAAAAATCTCATTTGTTCAAAACGAAAAATTCTTTCGAAGAGGTTCTTGAAGTACCATGTTCTTTCAGTAAACAAAATAACAATTTTTACGTTATACCGAGGCACATTAGAGATCGTTATTTAGTTATTTAGGAGCTTGTGTGATCTATTAGGTGACCTGAGCTACTAGACCCAAAGTCATGATTTAATTAGCATACTGAAATGATACTTTCATTTGTTTTTTGTTGTTTCTTTCGTTCTACAGCTTGTGACATCGACCTTGGACTCGTCATGGATAACACTAAAGGCAACTTTAATCTCATAAAGGACTTCGCGAAGGAACTTGTGGGCAAATTTCAAGTCTCAGACGACGGTACGCGTGTTGGAGCCATTACATTCGGGCACGGAGCACATATTCGTCTTCTGTTCAGTGATCTAAAAGGCAAAGAAAACAACTTGCAGAATGTGAAGGAACAGATCAATAGATGGCGTGAAGGTTCTCCCGTTTATGATAACAAGACTAGTATCAGCGAAGCTCTACGTGTTGCTAAAGATTTCCTGTTTAGGACTTCCAGTGGCATGAGATCCGGGCTAGTAGAACAGGTAATAAGCCTTCTTCATTCCTCTGACACCCCTGAGGAGCCTTGAGAGTTCTCGCAGCGTGTGTCTTAGGAGGCCGTGTGTGTATTGTGCGCCCATTGCTGGGTTGCATCATTCCCATGACACTCAACGCCCTTTGCAAACACTAAGGGCTTGTTTACATGGAGGTGGGGGACCCAAGGTAGGTGAGGTAACCCGCTTAGGTGGGGTAAAAAAGTAACCCCCGTTTACATGCAACCTTACAACCAAGCCATCGCCGGGTGCACTTTCTCAAGATTATTGAATGGTCGCTAAGCGCGTAAACAAAAAAATGGCTGGCGAACAACGTGTTTTGTGGATTAATGCTCTTCTACACTCTCTTGCTGCTCTTGCTACAACCTTCAGTGCTGTGGTTTTTTATTGTTACCTTCAATTATCTTAAGCCACCGCCAAAAGTAAATTTTGCGCCAATTTGATGCATAGCGAAAACGACCCTGACTGAGCGGGTTACCCCACCTTGTATGACACGATAAACAGTATTGTATTGAAACGTTCACATGGCAAAATTTGACCCTGGCTGAGGTTATCCGGTCTGGCAGAACGGGCTACCCGCCTTGGCGGGTCACCCCTTCTATCATGTAAACTGAATCAAATTACAAGCGGGTGGTCCCAACTAGGCGGGTTACCTCACCTACCTGGGGTCCCCCACCTCCATCTAAACAGGACCTTAAAGAGGGGAAAACTGACGGCAGACCCATGCACTGCAGTGAAATCACATTGATTGAGACCTCTGAGTAGACAAACGATGTTTTCACACGTGAAAGAATCGTTTGCGTCTTGTTATTTCTGTATTAGGGTGTACGGTTATAACACCCGTTTTTCTTTTGTTTTCGTGATAGGTACTCGTGCTTTTCACAAACGGAAAACAAGACATGGGGCAGGTAGCTTCTACTCTCAGAAGAATTCAGGAACTACAAAATAAAGGAATAAAAATTATCATTGTGGGTATTCAAAAACCAGACCCTATTGAGCTGTTGAAGCTTGCCGGTGGAATCGAGAACATGCATTATCTGAATTCTGAGGGCAGGATTACAAGCATCGCTACCAAAATATTCCAGAGTGTATGCAGTAAAGCCTAGGATTTCAACAGGCTTCTAACTTTGGCATAATAATTATAAATGCTAAATGCTTAATGAAGCCTCCATAAGTCTCGGCAAATATATCATATACATACCAGTTTAACCATTGTAGTCAACACTGAATATAACGGCGCGCTTTGAGTCCTGAATAATTGATGCAAACTCAGATATTTCGCAAAGAGTTTCAGAACTCCTGCGTTAATTAACACGTAGGTTACAATGATGTTACTTTTCTCATGTATCATTATTGTTTCATTTCAAAATAAAATGTGGAGTCGGGAATAATTTCATGGCGCATGGTTCTCATTCATGGGCTAAGACAGGGACACCCAACGAGAATATAGTTCAAAACCACTTGACATAGCATTGTTAAACGTATTTTAGTAGTTAAACGGAAGATATAAGCATATTTTTATCCCCTAAAAATTTCTCAGCTGTTCGGATTTCCTAGCTGAAAGTCTACTGATCCGAATATTATAGGGATCAAAACTTACTTTTTCGAAAATTTCAGCCAAAAAAAGGCTCCTGAAAATTCTAGGTGACCTTTTTAGGGTAAAAATTCGTAAAAATGGGCAATTATACCAATTTTTAGATGTACGAAAATCCTGGGAGAGGCAGGTAAGCAAGAAATTTTACAACAAATGTGCCGAAAATTCTAGATCTCAAATCGTCTTCCGAACAGATATTTTCCGAAAATTGACGTTGGGCCGCCCCTGCTGAGAGTTAACAAGATCTGACGCAGCATAGCAGCAGGGACAAATATTCGGGGCATTAAGCACAAAACTTGACCACGGCCCTCAGTTTTTATTTGGGAAAAATAAAAAATATAAAAAAATATATCGCCTTATCTTACCGTATCGTGTTGCAAAAAATCAGAATACAGTATCTTCTCTCGTGGACCGGCGTTTGTTTGAATTTGCAGTTTATTCGCGCTTACTATTACTAATAAAAAAAGAAAAGTTTTTATGCCTTTTTCTTGACAGCCGTGTATCTTGCCTTTTATACCACTGGTCTGTTATACCACAAATAAACGTCTGGGTGGGGGAGGGGGGGGAAGGTATCTACCACTTCTCCTCCAAGACCTGGCGTTTATTCAGGGCCCGGCGTTAAAAGAGAAAATACGGTAAACTTACTTTTGCAGTACTTTGGGGACCGTTCACTTTTAATAGGGGAAGGGGGACTGGTGGGATTCCATTGGTCGCTCCTCTAGTATGTGATGACCCCCCTCTTCACAAGAAATTTTCTTGCACCCCAAATTAATTGAGATGTCGCCCCCCCCCACCCTCTCCCTCCACAAAAAAAAGGGGGGAAGGGAAAGAGAGGACAAAGAAAGAAAGGACAAAGAAAAAGGGAAAGATGCCTAACTGATATTGTTATTTTTTCCGAATGAAACATTCGATTTGATATGCGGGCTTTTATGCTTTCTTGCATTTTAGAGGGGTACAATTGTCATTCGGTGCACAATAAAGTAGGAGGAAACGCTGATTTTTGGCATTCTGGCCTGAGGCTGTTAACATTATTTCAAATGCCGTTACTTAAGGGATATTTCGTAACCCCCCGTTAAAACCAATATTTTTTTCTTTTGACCCCTCCTATAAAGCCATATTTTTTATGTCCCCCCCCCCCTCAAATCCCACCAGCCCCCAACTTGATAAGAGATGAACGGTCTCTTGTGTTCCTTTATCGTTTTGAAACTTTTGGGCTAGTGTTGCTATCCTGTCTTAAGTGATAAATGGGTATTACAGTCGTCCTAAAAGAAATCCAACACCATGATTATGCAAAGTTTTTTTTTTCCTTTTTGGGCGGCGGCTCAACACTGGTCTATGTGAAAATGGTAAATCTAAAATCGATAAAGATTGTAAAACGCCCAATACAAGTATAATAAAGCTACAATGCTCTGGTGGTTAATTATAGGAAACACCGATAACGAGGATATCGATGACGATATATATAGAACCATACGAGGAGTAAGCGCCTCAGTTGAGCATGAGTTGAGAGTCGGTCTGATGAGCGGGATGATGACGGCCAGGGCTTCAATCTCAGTGTTATTTTCAGCGTTCCATTAGCTGGAGACCTAATTGTGTTTTGTGTTGATATTGAATACCACGTGAAAAAGAAGTTATTATAATGAAGACTAAAGGGATTGGTGGTTCTATATATACTCATTTATTCTTTTATCCAGACAATGACAAGTTGACAGACTTCCTCTTTGATCCGTGCAGAATAGATTATAGAAAGTTAGTCTCCACCTTAGATTTCCTCGCATGGAAAGTGCATTCCATAACAGTTATTTGCGAGGATTTCGCACTTTTTAGCAGCAAAGATTTATTTAATAACCGATTTCTTTGATTTTTGGCATCCTATATGGCTCTTGATCTAGCCAGATTTATGAAAACCGCACCAGCGGGCTCCTGGAGGCCACACACCTTAAACTGACTCCACTAAAGTACATATTGCCAAGAAAATCAGCTGCTACCCATGGTTCTCTTAATGTGACTCTCTTCTTGGTTCCTGATTAGCAAAAGAAACATTCAAGTCCATCAAAAAGACACTCTGGACTTGGCCAAACACTCTAACTGCTTGAAAGATCTAAAGGACAAAGGATGCTTGAGACTTAACCAAGTTCTAAGCAGAGAATTCAAGGTTAAATCACCCCCCCTGACTTCCTCCTACCCCCCAGCCTAGCACTTGCTTGAGGGGAATGCTTTCATTGGCCAATAGGCCTCAAACATTAAAAGAATGTGAAATGACAAACTAAAGGCAGACATGACGGGTGCACTGACTCTCCCAGACACGAGACAGTACCGCCGGCTTTTGCAGCACCCTCTTCCGCTAGGGATTGAGACGGAGGCCCCTTCCCAACCAATGGCGAGTTAGCTCAGGGACTGAGCTTGACAATGAGACCAACCCGGGACAGCAAACCGCCTATGTTCTTTCTCACCGCAGTGACCAGAAACCTGGCTTTCGCCAGGTTCCTGTGCGAATATTCTGGTCCATTAGGAGGTATGTTTTCAAAAATTCGGCTAGATATATCCAATAGACGAATGACGGAACTTCTTCTTCGATTGCCATGATCGGCTTCTCAGATCATACCCCAGGCCATAATAAATTCAATTATCATACTTTGTACTCACTATCTGTCTTTTCATCGGCTAAGAGCCTACAGCTATTTTTGGAAATGAGCGCAACCTACAGATTAGTTAGAATCTAGTTAGTTATCTGTTTAGCAGATAACGGACTAATTTGTAGGTTGTGCGCGCAATGCATGATTACCAAGAACAATACGTTTGTGTTTGTCGTTATTTTCTTCAAAACAATGTATAATAAAACAGTTATTAGATACGGTTTTTGTGATATCCGAAATAATCAAGGTCGAGGTAAGTGTTATCAGCCGAACCGAAGGCCGAGGCTGATAACACTTACCTCGACCTTGATTATTTCGGATATCACAAAAACCTCATAAAATAATGTTTTATAATTCAGTGTTACTAATTTAAAAGTTGCATGCATCCATTTTTGTTGCACTGAGCGAGATATCTCATCTCGGTGAAATGAACACTTAAAGGGCCATCTTTTTTGGATTTTTACTGCTCTCGCTGTTTGTCAAGTGCAAAATTTCACGGTGCTTGGATTTTCACTGATAATTTGTCTCAGAACTTGCAAATTCTAGGTTGTATTAAAACAAGAATTATTATATGGTCAATATGAATATTGAAGTGAAATAGTCAAAGTATCTAGTTTCTGGGGTAATATAAGAGGATTTCTACACAATTTAAAATACAATATCAAAGTTTTTTTGATTACTTGAGGTCATATGGCATATTTAATTTTGTATGCCACCAAAGAAGAGAAATTGATTGAAAAAACTAAATGGTCTCTATTGTAATCAGAAGCGTTCATTGTTATAGTAAGGTGAATTCTTTTTTTCGTCGTCAGGCCGTTTTTTTTTGTTATTACGGCTACTATTTCACAAGCTATTTTATGTGGTTTTGAGATATAAATTGAATTCTCACTGTAAATTTATGTTGCGGAGTGTGGTGATTGACATATCACAGGCATGCAATAAAATCATATCCGTAACCCCAACTAATATCGGTTTGGTACAAATTATGCGCCACGCTCCTGCACTTAAGCTTGTAAAATAAATATTACAACACCATAAAAATAATTCAGACTTAAAGAAGCAATATTTAAGGCTGTAAAGAATTAAATTTTCCTCCTCAGTTGCATCTTAGATGGGTGGAAAAATATACTCTCTCTGTCCTTCGAGTTTTGTTTTCATGCAATTTTGATCAATGACTTTTTGGCCGGCCTCAAATGAAAGTTAGTGTAAGTTGACACAGTTGCCGTCCTAAAAGCCCTTTTGCGTCCTTTGTTGACCTCTGAAAAAATATTATGTATCATAACTATAATGCCTCCTATCAAACCTGCTGACAGGTGCTTTTGCGACATCGGAAATATTTAAGCAGCCTCCGCGCAGAATCTATCAGCACTTTAAACATACACCAGCTTTACGACAACAAGAAAGATCGTCGTATTTACATCAGGGAGATTGAAATTTAATTCTAATTTTAATTTCAGATCGATTGCAGATGGATTACCTCTAAGGCTAACTTGGAACTTCTCGTAATATGCCTATCATTTTGACCTTGCTGCTTTTATTAACGTTGTCTATTGCTTTTCAACCAATAACTGTTCCAAACCGAGCTTTAGTCGGACATGTCTACCGTTCTTCATACGACATAGACTGGATCACCTGCATCCAGTCCTGCCAAGATGATCCAAAATGCTTTTCATATAACTTTGCTCGCCTGTTAAATGGTCTTAGTCAGTGCCAAATGATCGACTGTGGTTTGGAAGATTCCTGTAACACTGAGGGCGTTGTGTTTTCTACTGGATCAATATTCCAACAGATAGTGCCAACAGGGGTGAGAAAGATTATTTTTATAAGTGTATTTTTAAATTTCCTACAACTGTGATGGAGGACTAATCGAAATATTATAGGATTAACGGTCACAAGGTCAGAAATTTGCTTTTTATCTGCTGTACAAATAGTTTTGTTCACTGACTGACTAAGATATACATCAACATCAAAAACCCAGCTCATGGCGCAGACTGCTTCTCTCGGCAATAGATGTTTGGAAGGTGAGAAGCGCCACCACCACCTCGACCCATCAGCAAGAATATAAATAGTATTTGCCATATTTTGAAATTTTTATTATTTATTTTATCAACAATCTGTGCAACTGTCAAAACTAATTATCTGTAGATGCCTTTTCTTCAAACGAATTCTTGACGAAACATGGCATTAAGCGTTAAACTGACTGTTTTTATGAACTCCGTACTGATTCTTTCAGGGATCAAAAATTTGCAAGTCTTCATTAAACAACGATGACTCGGAAACAGGTGAGTTATTGAAATAGATACGATGCAACAGAAAAATCACATACCACGGCAAAAATTTCAGTTAGGAATTCTCTGAAAATTTAGGGCGTGGTCAAAGTTTGGCATCGGTGGAAGTCACCAGGAATTGCAGTTTGAGTTGCGTTTTTCTTGGTAATTACGACTAATGGCATGTCCTCTCCCACGCTCATGGTCTGCGTAAAACTTAATACTCTATAAATATGAACAGAAATTAAATGAAATTTATTACAATGGTTTGTTCATTAGCAATTACCCGGTAGTTTACAATGTGGCACACAAATGCGGGTACAAACATGCAAACACTGCAAAGTGGACATAAAGAATCCAAAATAGTTGGAGTCATTTAAATGCCTATTTCCGTCGGAGCATCAGTGCACTGAAAACAAGGCACAATTACCAGTGACCAATCAGCTTACAGTCTGGCCTCAAAATCTAGAAGCAAACAAAGATAATGCAATTAAATCAGACTGCGAAATAGCCGGAGGCAAATCATTAAGTAGCTATTTCCAAGTATGGTCGAAGAATTGACCTTACCGTGGAGGTCTACTGGCTACCAGAGTACGAAATGAGCCTGGAAAGTTATAACTTAGCGTCTAAAGCTGATCTTCCATGCTGACTCGTCGCTTAGCTTCAAATTGTCTTCAAGCTTAGTCCCGACTATATAGAAACGCACTTATCTAGGATGTCAACCAAATAATTTGACAATGCGTGGACGTTTGTATATAGAGAATATATAGAGGATATTACACGGTGGCGCGAAGATATGAATTTTATTTTTGAGTGGCAAAACAATATTTTACGAACGAGCGCAGCAAGTGAGTAAAATATTGTTTTTGCCACGAGAAAATAAAATTCATATCTTCAAGCTGCCGTGTAATGTTCTTTTTATTATATAGACAAAATGACATCGATAAAATAATAGAGGGAAATTACCAAAATTACGTCATCGATAAACTCACGAGTGAGATTATGGAAAATAAACCACTCGGGTCCCGGATGTAGTTTTTATCAATTTTACGAGTGGTATATTTTCCAGTAAAACACTCGTGTCTATATAATAAAAATATATATATACTGACGAAAGCTCGCCTTGCGAACACCCTAGCTCCTAGGCGACAAGGTGTCGTTACATCCACCATTACAAAGATTCGTTGAAATGTCAAAAAGGAAGAAACTCTTTGATAAAAAGCTCTTTTAAAAGAGTTCAATTTTCTCTTTAATGAGGTGATTACCAAGCAGACTTTATTAACTGAGCTCTAGGAAGGATTCTAATTCGTATCGTCAACACTTTTCGGTAAAAAGTATACCGCTGTTTCAAATTCTTGGTAATAATATTCATTTAAGACTGAAGATTTGACTTGATGGATTCAAAGATGAATTCAAGAATGATCATTCTACGGCTGTTGAAAAAGCTAAGAAGTGAATATGTAATAAAAAATACTGAGATGAAACAAGTCTATGAGAACTGCGGCAGAAACCTGAAAGGATCACAAAAATCTTCGCATTTTACAACCGATTTTAGCAATAGCTTTTTAGAAGAAGAAACTTAAGGAGAAAAATTCTTGACACGACTACAATTATTATAATCATACTGGTAACCGAATAGTGTAGGTTTAGTTAAAAAGCGACAAGCCGCTACATTGTCTGCGTGTGGTCGCTAATACGGCACAGCCCCTTTCCTTAGGCCCCCGTCCACACGTACCCGTTTTTGTTTGAAAACGGAGAGTCTCAGTTTTCCCTCGGTTTGGCCTACCGTCAACACGTATCTGGTGAAAATGGTCACCAAATACGCATCTTTTCAAAAACGCTTTCCAGGGCGGAGATTTTTGAAAAAGTTTTGCTATACTATACTATAAAAATATACAATAAAATACAGTTTATTTGTTTCTCCCAAATGGGTTTTTCAGAACTAATTTTCAATACAAATGTAGATAAAAACTTAATTGCAAATTACATGTTGAACGAAGGTAATGATAACAAATTTAAAAAAAAGGGCTATGTAGCTATGTATATGTTTATTTCTTTTTTTTTTCTGAACTGGTTAGATTAATATTTTTCGAGAGCGCACAACTTTTCAGGAGTAATAAGTAACACAATTGGAAGATAGTTCCAGGCTTTGAGGTTATAAATATCTATATGAAATGATTAAAAATCACTAGAAGCGGAGGTTTTTCACGGCCTTTTTGAAAAATGAAGAGGGGGTTTTTATTTGATAGTCCAACTCGTTCCAACGCTTTGCGGCTCGAAGGAAAAAGAAACAGCGTTGCGCTCAGAGGATGTTCGGAACCTGCCCAAATCAATGTCAATAGACTGCCTAGTAGAAATCTTATGAACGTCAGATCGCTCGGGGACTTGGTCATTAAGACATTAATACATCATGATGAGGTCACGATGTATAAGGAGATCCTTGACAGGTAACCAGCCCAGATGCGGCGTTTAGAGCTGGCGAAGTATGGTCAAACTTCCTTAAACCGGTGAGAATACGGGCGGCAAAGCTGAGTTCTGAGGTTGCTGAAGCTTTTGCATGTTCTACGGTAGACTGCAAAACAGTCCGTATTTTTCCGTATTCACATTTTTGCGTATTCAAGTACGCGCGAGCAGTCAAACGAAAGGTCTGGAACACACCTTACGGGCGTGTGAGGCTCGCGAGTTTCGCGCTTAAGAGACTCTTACGCCACGCTCAACCGATTTCTTTACTGATTTGAGAAAAAAAACGACCTTTTTGCAGTCTAGTTCTGCGGTTTAGTGGTGCCAGACCATACTGCCGAACAATAAAAAAGTTTACTAAAAACGAGTGAAATTAAAATACTTGAAAGTATGGATTTATCAAGACATGCCATACTCTTTTAATTTTACACAAGGTAGAAAAAAGCGAGGACACTAATAAGGTGTCAATATGAGTATCGAAAGTGAAAACAGAATCAAGATAGATAGCCAAATCCATTACAGACCCTGTCAGGAGTCAAGGTCTTGCCCAGAATCGATACCGTCGGATTAACAAGTTTTCCCACTGCTGCTTAATTTGTACTGGTGTGGATGGACGAAAACGGAAGTTTTTGAATACCATTACGTCACGGTGTTGGATAACAGTAAATGCGCATTTTCTCATCAAAGATTCTACTGAATTCAGGTATGTTTACCGTTGAGTTTCCGTGTGGACTGCAGGCAAAAATCTTCAAAATCGCAAAGTATACTTGAGGACGTGGACTTTTTTGAAAATGGAGAGAATACTTAACGTTTTCAAACAAAAACGGATACCTAAGGAAGGGGCCTTAATGCGTGCGCTCGTTTTCATGGAATTTTACCATACATTATTTCTTCTTCTTCTTTTTTTTTTACAGAAATCGTAATCTATATCTAGTTATCTAGGAGATTTGCAGCGTTCGCGATATAACAGGAAATCTTAAAAACGTTAAAAATAGAAGAAGGAATAGCACATTGAACTGTTTTGATTTAGTTATTTATTTATTTGTTAGTATTCGTTTACCTACAGCTTGTGACATCGACCTTGGACTCGTAATGGATAACACTAAAGGCAACTTTGTTCTCATAAAGGACTTTGCCAAGCATCTTGTTGGAAAATTTCGAATCTCAGACGACGGTACCCACCTGGGAGCTATAACATTTGGAAAAACGGTGAATATTCGACTTTTTTTCAGCGACTTTCAAGGCAGCAAAAACAACTTGCAGAATGTTAAGAAACAAATTGATAGCTGGCATGGAGATTCCTTTGTTAATAATAGGCACACTAGGATCAGCGAAGCTTTACGTACTGCGAAAGATTTCCTGTTTAAGACGGCTGGTGGCATGAGATCCCCACCAATTCAACAAGTAATCACTGGGATTTTACCGGCCCCATGTAAGGTAATCCAAGATAGTATTGGACTCTGGATTCCAGGTACCGGATTCAGGATTACTTGTCAGTGGAACTTGGATTCTGGACTCCAATTGTTAGCGGGATTCCGGATTCCTTGAGCTAGATCACGGATTCCAAAGCCCAAAACCGAGGAGTTTGGATTCCACTAGCAAAATTTTTTAAATTCGGATTCCGCAATCCGGATTCCCTTACATGAGGTGATAAACCAAAAAAACACAAATGCTTATTGCTATGGGCAACTTTTCTTTACTAAAACGTTTCTGGATACTTCAAAGCGGTGTACGAGGAGACTTTGGAAGCCAGGTGTGCATTGCTCCTTTCTCCCTCTCCTCCCTCTGCTTCTCCGTATTTTTTCCCGCTCTCTTACTTCGCGCCGCACTCTACTATCCGAAAGTGCGCCTGGAACAGGCTAGGCTTCTGACTGGATAAAAGTTAAAAACATAGTTGGTGCGTCTTATTTTCTAGAACCTATTTCTGAACATAAGCTCCCAATATGGCTATTTTAGCTAGTATGGCATGTTAAAATCTGAGACTTCTTTCTGGTTTCATGATAGGTACTTGTGCTTTTCACAAACGGAAAACAAGACAGGGGACAGCTATCTTCGACTCTCAGCGAGGCTCAGAAACTTGGACATAAAGGAATAAAGCTCATTGCTGTGGGCATTCAAAAACCAGATCTTGTTAATCTGGTAAAAATTGCCAGTAATGAGTTGAACGTGTATTTCCTGAAGACTCCAGACAGGATCGTTAGCATCGCCAAAAAAATAGTTCAGGGTTTATGCGGTAAAGCCTAGGTTTTGAACAGGAAGCTAGAACCTTAGCATGGGGTAAATTCTAAATGTAATTCGGTCGGCGAACAGATCATGTTATTTTACCCTTCGAATTAACTTAAAGTCGAATTCTCTCTATTTCTTCCCCCCCAAAGATCTCTGGGTGGATCCGCAGACGCATGCTAATGCTGTCCCCTCCAAATCTCTCTGTCCTTATAAATCAAAGTACTGTAAAAAATAAGAAAAACAAATATTTTACAGACCAGTTAGACGCAACAGAAATGATCGCTGATGGTCCAGCCGGTCGGAAAAAAAATTTCAAAGAACAGTTGCACCTTGAATTTAATTCCACCAGTTCTTCATTATATATAAGTACCAAATTTTCCATCCATGGTCATGAAATAAAGCGTCACTCCTATCTTACACCTTCATAAGAGGTGGATGGAAATCAAAGAGATGTTGAGGACATTTGTTTCGTAATTTACTTGTGTAATTCATTCTGCAAGCATCTGCACTTTCGTATTGGAAATCTACCTAATTCACCTCTACATGCAGCGATACTTACCTCATCCGCCCACGGCTTGCAGAGGTGTAAGTAGGTTGAGGAGCTTTCCCTCGTTTAAAAAACTTGTTAAGGTAAGCTGCCAAATTTCACAGTTATAGGATAGTATAGGGGTGATCATTGTGATAGAATATTTTCAAGCCAAATGTTTTAATCTACTTATGTCTGTGTTTTTTCGCAAGCCGAAAAGAGCGCAGTGTTCGAGAGACACATTGAAATTACCAGTTGAGGAGTTTTAGGTTCCTAAATATATGATTGTGTATTCGTGTACAATATCAATGGTCTGTTGGTCCCTATGTGGAATTCAAGGTCTGAGTTTTTCTTTGCGCGTTTTTGAAAGATCATAATTTTGGTCTTTTTAGAATTGATATCTAACATCCAAGAACTGCTAAAAGAATACAACTTGTTTAGACAATTTTGCAAACCTACTTTAGATCACTTTCAAGACCATAATCAGGCCATCAGCGTATTTATAAAAAAGAATTTAACCTGGTACCGTTTGGGAGAATGATGGGATCTGCATGATAAACGGTATTTTGAAAAGCATATGGTAAAGAGTCATTATTGTATACTTGAAAAAAAATCTAATCAAATTGCCTTCCCCTGCCTAGCCTATTTTTCAGAGATTGTAGCTATTTATTGTATAATATCAACAGACAGACAGCACCAGTTAGTATACTCAATCAGTTCGTTAAAACAAGTCAGATTCATAACTACAGAACAAGATCTGTCTCTAGCGACTCGTTTTATGTTAAGTTCTCTAGAACCAGTAAAATGTATGCCTTTTTCACAAGAATCGGTGCCCAAACTTGAAACTTTATTCCTTATTCGATTAAAATAATTAAACGTTCGTCCTTTCATAAAATTATTACTAAATTTCTTGCGGTCAGAAGATGATTATGTCGAAGTCTCCCGTCTTATTAAGTGATTTAATACTTTAGGTTAGCCTGTCTTCGTAATCGTTATGTACTTGCCTTGTTTTATGTTAGTTTAAATTCTATTTACTGTATAGTAGTGTCTTCACTGTTATTTAGTCCATCTACACATAAATCTTGTTTTGTAATATGTCTTCAGCTCCCCCCGCCTCGGTTAGTTTATAAGCTATTTGCGGGTGGGAAAGTAATGTAATTAGTTATTTTCCAATTTTCAATAAAATTTGTTGTTGTTGTTGTTGTTGTTGAAAAGCAAGAGGCTTGTAAAGATGCAACCATGGCGTACTCTTCTCAAGTAATGGAAGGATCTGGTTTGACTCCTACCAATACCCATACTCATAGAGAGCCCCATATTCATAGATTATGGTCAACCTCTTTTCGTTTATTGACCGAGCGTACGTACGTACGTACGCGTCTACGGATTGTACGGGTGGGGTAGGGGAGACTATCAAAAGGAAGGGAGGGTTGTCTCAGGCGTGTCTTGCCGAGTCAACATCTTTTACATTGGACATTCACAATATGGTCAATTGACAGCTGTCAAAACAGGATAGCCACTGACCAGTATCCCATGACCATATCGCGGGTTCATGTGTCAACCCATTGAGGTGACGTGATTTATTTGGAAGCTGTCCGCTGACCAGTTAATTACTTTACTAGATCGCGATCAATGTTTAGTCTCATACTTTCTAGCTAGTTTGGGATCGGAGCACAGGAAAACTGATACACATATTGGACATCAATGTTGTGTTCTATTGACAGCTGTCAAAACAAGGTATCCGCTGACCAGTATCACTTGACTGTATCGCGGGCTCAGGTGTCGACCAATCGAGGTCAAGTGTTTTTTGAAGTTATCCGCTGACAAGGTACTGGTTTTCAAATGATCGCAGGCTCAAGTTTAATTTTTTTAAAAATTCATATGAAATATGTTGTGTTTATGTGCGAAAATTCAGCTAGCTTCTACAGGCAGGGAAGACAGTTGCTTTTGACTTTTCTCGCCATGTTCACGCGTTAGTCACGCTCTACGTCCAATTTTTATACTCTGATTGGTCAAAATTTGACAGGTGAGTTCATGCGGAAAATTTATGCAGCATCTTGAATCTTGTTTACTTTGACAGCAGAAGCTGACAGAGTTTTGTGTCAACTTGTGATGTTTTTAACTTTCTTTTTCCACTGTATGTACAAAATGAATTCAGCTGCTATCAGGAGTCTTCTGTTATTCATGGCTAGTTTGTTTATTGGGTTTTTGGTTGAGTCAAAGTCGGAAATCCGATTTCGGATGGCATCGTTTTCGTTTTCACCTTGCTTAATGCGTAAGAGGGTTGCAAAGTCTGAAGCGATACTGGCCTTGCTTGATACCTTTCAGGAGCTGCATCTCGAGTGGTAAGCCTAAGTAATTATTGTATTTGATGTTTGTTTTTTTATTCCTAATTTAATGAAGTCGAGCGTAGTTTATGGGACTATTTTGTTTACGCACGTTTGTAAGATTTGAGACAATGATCTGACTGAGTATCAGGTTTGTTACAAGCTTACACATCTTTAAAAAGCCTTTAGACATTTTCTCACCGCAAATAGAAAGAAAACGTTTCAAAGAATATTTAGTTATAATTCTGGCTGTAAAAGAAAGGTTTGAGCGATTTTCTTGCCTCGAGTTCGTCTTTGAAAAAAGCAAACACCGGGAAGCCAGCTTAAACATAAACTTCAGTTTTAAGCTCGAAGACTCAGGATATTTAGAGACAATTTAATACTTGTCTTCCTGAATGAAAATTGTCTTCTCTGTATATGTTTCACCGAATTATATTTCTTTTATTGATTGTTAGTACTCTCTCTTGTAATTTTAATTGTTGTGCCGATTGTTTTCAGTCGTTCAGTAAACAACGCTTCTCGGTGTACTCCCAATGCCGCGCGTTAAACCGTTTTAAAATAAAAAATAAACATAATAAATTATTTATTATGTTGGAGCGTAATTCTGTTAATGTTCATTCAAACACTCGCCACTGCTAGCACTGCAAAAGTCAGAACCGGCTGGCCGTATAGATGATTTTGAAAATTTTTTCAACGATTTACGACGTTTACGGCTAAAGGGTCCTAAAGCCCACGTTTGCTTCGATCGTCCTGAATAGCAATTTGTATCGCAATATTGTGAAATACTGCATTCTGTTGTCCGAGGTCTGTATGATAAAAACAGTGCTTCATAGTACTGTTTCACCTCAGATGTGATGTATAAATGATATAAAAGGTTGGTTTACACGCACCCAGATTTGTTGGCAAGATTTTGTAAAGTAAACTTGTCGAACGGAAAAACTTCGGCCGGAATTTTTTTTCCAGGCCTAATTAATCTACGGTGATCAAGAGTCATTATGGCTCTTAATAAATGTGATCGAAGATGATTGCCAGTTTTTGTGTGTACTTATGAGGCTATCAACTCGATGTGAGATTTGGCTCACTCTTGGGCTGTTTGCAAATTACTTTTTGTAAAATCACTTAGCCTTTCCCTGAAAAGTCACCCGAATGTACTCTAAAGTTAACTGAATTGTGGAATACAAGTTTATTGTTTGATTTAAATTATAAATTTATTAATGGGAGCCTCGCTTTTAGCCCTGGCTAAATCTATATATTAAGGTGCATAAGCAGTTTGAATATGTATTTTGTATCAAGGCTTTTAGAAACATCCTCCTACACCGATTTGCAGTAATTTATGTAAGAATCTCTTATGCCAGATGGAGTCAAAGGCCTTTTTGAAATCACCAAAACGAGCATATATATTTTCACGATTACCGTGCACGTACTCGTCTAACTACAAGAGAACGACTGAACAATTGGCGATTTGACTAACAATAAACGACTGTTTAAGAGAGAGCCGGATGATCCATAAAAGCAGTCCGGCCGATCTGGCTCAAAAAATAGATATTGCTTATTTCCCGTATACTGAAAGACTTTCATGTCCTTATACTAAAACCACAATCTGCTTGATCAGATCTTTTAAATTTATCGAGTTATGAGAGATTTTCTGATCACCCCAGCGAACACTCGTGGCGACCCATATCAAGGCTCAAATTTATGGACTGACATTGGAGGTCAATTATACGAAAAATGTCAGGTCCTTTATAAAACAAACACCAAAACCGGTTGAACTGAGTCCTTTTGAGCTACCAGAGCGACTTTTAGAAGGGTTAAGGGCGAAAGAAGGCCATACTGACAGTTTAACGAACCCCATATTGTACTGGGTTTGATCATGCACGCGAAAACAGGTCAAATACAAAGTGACTTATTTCTGTAAAAGTACACCGCCCTATTTAAATTAAACTGGCTCATTAGGAAAGAATGCAACCTATATAATGTCAACACAGAAGAAAACTTTGCGGTATCTCGTCGTTACTGAAATAATTATAGCTTTCAATTAATTGTAAAATTGCCAAAGTTTCAAAATATCTAATTCCCTCATGAAATGAGACACTATATTTTTTCTATCTTAAAGCTATACTTAATGAAACAATCTACAAGACAAGAAACTATCTACAAGACTTTCTCGT